GCAGCTAAAAGTCAAGAAATAATTTTTTGAAAATAGATTAAGATAAGTACATTAACATCGCTTCACTCACCCTCATGAACCACAGAAATGTGTGCGTTTAAATTACATCGCTGCGTGAAGGTATAACCACAAATCTCGCACGTGAACGGTTTTTCCTCTATAAACAATGTTAAAGTAATTAAATGTAAAATGCATTTGTGTACCAAGAAATGCGCATTTAAATGTTGATTACGGCTATTATGCTGATGTTAATTAACAAACTATCATGAATCGCAGAAATATGACTGGATAAATGACATCGTTGCGTGAAGGATTTATGACAATTCTCGCACGTGAAAGGTCTCTTCTCTAAAGGCAATTTTAAGGTAGTAAAATGTAAAATGTATTTAATTATTAAAAATGCGTATTTAATTGTTGATTATGGCTATCATGCTGATGTTAATTAACCTACTCTCATGATCCGCAGAAATGTGGTTTCTTAAAATGCCTCGACGGGAGAAGGCCTTACCACACTTCTGGCAAGTAAACGGCTACCTTCCTAAAAGTAATGTAAAGGTGATAAGAATGAAACGCTTTTTGATATTAAGATTGGTATTAGGAAATTGCTCAACTCACCCTCATGAACCCTAGAAATGTGTTCATTTAAATAGCCTTGGCGCAAAAAAGATTTCTTGCAATGCCAGCAGGCGAAGGCCCTCTTCACTACAAAACTTTGGTACCAAATAAAATCCCCTGGAAAAAAAAACAAAATTCAAAAAAATAGGTTAAAAGTCAGTAAGTGATTGCCAAAATTGGTCATAAGTATCATCTGGGAATGATTTGAACCAATGATTTGGACTCGTAGAGGTGGAGTTTCAAAGAACTAATACTCGAAAATTTTTTTTCACGTCAGGTACATTAACATAGTCCATCGAAAAAACCCAAAAAAGTTTTTATCAATGAAGTCGGCTCACTTTCATGAACCTTTAGAAAGTGACGGCTCAAAGTCCTGCTACGCAAAAACGCCTGCTCGCAATGTTCGCACTTCAACGACCTCTCTATTTAGAAACAACAAAGGCATTTGCAACAAATACAAAATTTTGACCTAAACTTGTGAATGGCTGCAACATGACTAATGGAATCACTCCTGCTTAAAAGGGCTAAAATGCCCATTTGTATGAGTAGAATAAAACTAGTTGTTTGGTGAATTGAGCAAACAGGAGAGCGACAACAACCGATGAAGCATAACGTAAAGGGATAAAATAAACCCCTTTTAACCGGAAATGTTAAAATAATACCAAATTGGCCTCTACAAATCCTTCATTGATTAATTGCTTACGTACTTAATTTCTTAAGCACCTTCAAGATTATGCAGTGTCATTTGTTCAGTCAGAGAAGAGCATTCCTTAAGCACGTGCTTCAATTGCTTATGCCTTTTGAAAACTTTCTTTCTAAGCATCACCTTGCCACATCCACCCATAAATTTTGCACCCGCATAACCAGAAGCCTACGGCACTACAACAGATTCGTACAGGTCGGTATGCCTTTGTATTATGCAATATAGGCAATTCTAAACGCAAGATGTAAGTATTACATATTGTGTTAATAAAACTAATTTCACTTTGTCACTATGCTACACTGTCACGCTTGAAAAACATTTATATATCATAGGAAAATAAGAGTTGACCTTATTGCCATGCACGCATAGAGTGTTGGAGACTTGCTATGGTGAAAAATCTCTGTGTCGTGTTAGATATGCACGCTGGGAAAAGCACTTTCCACATCTGCGACACTGATATGGGTCTACATCTAACAAATTGGAAATTAATTAATAAAATGAAGGGAGAAGCGTTTTCCTCATTAGGATTTACTAAATTCACGCGCCAGCAAAGCATTTATGGAGTGAAACTAAAGTGATCAAATTGTCCGAGGGACTATTCTTCATTTATATTGACGCGGACGCAGGCAAGAGTTAAATGCGCGATAACACAGATTATTAAATTAAAAAAGGAACGCCGAAAACACGGATGTACAAGTATAACTAACATGATATCCTGAGCAGAGGCTGTCCACTGAGAGCAGATGTCATTCCAAAACTTCGCCTTGAGAAGTGAAGTCAAAATAACCACACACACCTAAACTAAAATACAGAAAGTAAATCAGTCATTTGCTAAAGCTAACTTGTTAATAAAAAATGAATTAAAGCAAAACATATTTTTTGAATTTTTTGTATTTTACCTCCATATCGTAATATTGATTTGTGACGTGTGGACAGTAAATATGAAGTAGTGGTGTGAAATAGCTCATTTAGAAGCCTATTTTTGCATATGATAGAATAAAGCGCGCCGTATGCAAATTTCAAACATTTTGAACATTTTGAGAAAGGCCATTGTAAGATGATGGCATAATGTAGTTCAGTCATATAGCAACTTTAATAAAAGTACTTCCCAAACATATTGGGATGCCAAATCACTTCATTGTTTCTTGAAATCAGAACAATTCTAGAACTCAGAGCATTTCTCCTTCTTATAAAATAGCATGAGCTCTTCGCTGATCACTGGTCATTAATTCTGTGTAATTGTTTGTGACCTAATCCACCCTATAGCCCTATATCATTGAACAAATCGAATCACCAAGTCGAGTGGAAAGCTGGTTTACTTACTTTACACGCTGTTGAGGGTTTGAGAAACTTGGAGAACATGCTAATTTTTATGCTTAGCAGACCATGCTTAGGGAAATGATACACGCTAGATGTGCCTGTAACCCTAGATATCAGCACTATTCCTATTCATGTACTTCGCATTCCATTAAATTTACAGGTTGTGGATGTTCTGATCTCGCAATTTTCTCAAGACTTTTGCTAAAGCACTTATCTGGCGTTTTAAAGACTTGTGCTTCTATTTCGTCCCTCCTCCTTGGATTGCATGAAGCAGAGGTGTGCTTGAAATCTGCAGATGGCCCCTCTAAGTCTACGGTCAATCAGACACTATAAGTAAGCTTAAGTGCAAAAACCTGGACACTGCAACACCCTCAATTATCTAGAGATTCGGTCGGCAGATGCAAAACCAAGTATAGGTAGCAAAAGAGGAGAAGATCTCTGCATTCTGTGCAGAGGCATGTGCCAATTCGATGTAGGAAGGAATGGTTACTGCCCTAGCAAAGCGTCCCACAAAAATCAACTTAATCGTTTCCAACACGTGGAATAGTGATGACGCACCTACGCGGCTCCTTGTCTTTACCTATCGAGATATTGCCATCTACTTCCACCGCCTCTTTTACTCAGAAGATAGTAAAGTAAGGAGCCAGAGTAGTCTCAACCATCTTTTTGGCCATAGTTGTATTTGCTTTTGACATTATGGGGTATTTTATGGCCGAGCATCTGGTATTTGTCTGAAATTGGTGTTTCGGAGATATGGAGAGAGGATCATCGTGGTTGCCGCAAGCCCTTTAGTAG